CTTACCACTCCTGCAATTTGGGTCTCAGACTTTTGGGGAGCTATCCCACTGAGCTTGCTGATGTGACAAATAAATCTCTCTCCACCTCTCTGAGTGCTGCCTGATTTCTCTGGAAAATTGCTGTACCATTATTATTTCCATTTTAGCAAGTAGTCTCTCCGGAATTCTAATCTAAGGTCCAGACCTTATTGTTTTTATCTTATTTTTCCTATACCATAAATCTCTGCCTTTATAGAAACATTTCCAACAGCTTAAAACACTGCCTGGTATTCTCCTAAAAATAAGGCCCACTTACGACTCTTCCTTCCCATTCAACTACTGCTTTGGGAAAGAGTTAGCTTCAGTTTATGCTTCTTCAGTCTGTCTTCTGCTTCTGTTAGGCAGCTGGAGCTTTTCTCACCAAGGTCCTCTCACGCCTTCAGGCTCAGGTCAATAGACGTCTCTCCTCTCCTTGTCTCGGTGCACTGCTGCCGCGACCAGTCTCCAGTTGCGTCCCTTTATTTCTTGGTGGTGCCTTTTCTGTCGGTCTTCTGAGCAGTGCTTCTTAATTCAGTCCTAGGCGCGCTTCTGTTTCTCTGCACCGGCTCCCCAAGAGCTCTTGGTATCTACCCTTTTCGTAGGTGACCTGCAAATGTGTAGCTCCAGCCCACGCTTTTCCTCTGATTTTCCCAGCAGATTGTTCAACTCTGTACTGGCCATTTCTGACTTAATATATTCCAAATGCAACTCTTGATCTCCGCCCCCCCCCCACACAACTTGTTAGCCTTTCCTCTCATTGGGTGGCAACATGCTGCCTTCCTCTTCCTTCAGTCCATAAATGACAGTCTACCTTCATTTATACTGCTAGCTAAAACCTAGTGCAGCCCACTCCCTCCATCTCCACTCTCCCTGCATGAGTTAGGCCACCAGCGGGTCTCACCAGGACTGCAGTTCTAGCCTCTCAATTATTTTCTCTGCTTTTTCTTCCTTGATCCAAATTGATCTCCATGTAGCAGTCAGATCAAAACTTCAACAACATAGACCTGACTATTGTTCTCTTGATTAAAACCATTCAGTGGCTTTCTGTGGCCCTCACGAAAGAACCTCCAATTCTTTACCATGACCTGTGAGCGTCTCTGCATGATTGGACATTGCATTCAACAGCAACTTGGTGTTCTGCCACCTTTTCCTTATCACCTGTGGATGAGCTGAACTCATGTCCTTTTAGGTCCGTGGCCATGCCTCCCTCTTTCCAGCCGGAGAATCTTCTTTCTTCCTGAAACACCCAGGCCTCTGCTTCTGGGCAGACCGCTCCAGCTGCCCCTGGAAGTCAGGATTGTCTCGTACCTGACAAACTGTCTCTCATCACCTGTTCTCAGTGGGACTGTGCCCTGTACATTTATCTTTGTCCCTGCCTTCGGTTTCCTACGCATACCATTACTGTGGTATACTGATTATCTCCAGCCAGAGCGGGAGCTCCAGCAAAACCTAGCACTTGTTACTGTGCCCAGTGTAGTCGTTGCTCAGCTTGTAAGATGGAAAAGGAAACTTCCAGTGAGACTGATATGGAAAATTCCATTCTCACTGGAAGATTGCACTCAAACTGTGTGTCTGCTTGCTTCATACCATGCACATGCCAGGTCCCTCAGCAGCTTCAAAAGTAAGCGAAAAGCTGGCAGTGTAACCATGAGTGTCTGGCTGATTTTCAGAGGTCAGTGTGAAGGTTCACACCTGGGGTTGGAACGTGGTGCTTTCTCCTGTGTTCCCTTATTGTCACAGGCAAGGGAAGTGAGGCGCAGGGTGGTCTTGGCCCTCGCCTTCTGGCTCATTTCTGGAAAGACTCAAATTTGGTTTCTCTTGCCTCATGGGCAGTAGTGTCAGTCTGTTTGGTAAGAGAACTTTCTGAATTTCTCTCATACCTGAGTTTCTTAAGTAGAGGTGGAAACCTCTCAGAGAGGGTTTTCATTGTATTTAGCGCAGTATGGAGTACTGGAAAGGACTTGGATTTTTGTTTTGTCTAGATTATTTTGAAAAGCCAAACAAACCCCATTAACATGACCCTGAGCCCCAGTTTCTCCATCTAGAACAAGTGAATTGGACAAGATGGTTTTTAGTTTTACCTTTAATCATCAGGACCTCTTATTTCTTTAAATAGGGATGCTGATCCTGGAGGTAAACATACAAATTGCAGCTTTTAGGGAAGCAGACCCCTTGCTCACTGGAAAACCGGTGAGCACTCCCCTAGTGTACCTTAGGAGGTGGAGAGGGATGGCAGATTCCTTGGGGTTTCCAAACCCTTCCAGTTAACCTCTGATGGCCTTTGCCTGACTTTCAGTGTATTGGCAACTGTCCAGGCAAAAACGTTTTAGAGTTTAATGTTTTCAGGCTTTTAATGACATATGCCCCAGCCTACCAGGAATGAAAAGGTATACTAACTGAGAATATTAAGTGCCCTTGAGTGCTGGCACCCCTTAAAGACTTGCACTTCCGTGCAGCCATGAGCAGCTCAGTTGGTTGCCTCAAGAGTTAAAGAAAGGCAACTTTGTTTTCTTCACTTGCAAATGTTGAGAAAGTTGAGAAGATTCTAGGCTGATGCATAACTTTAATAATAAGTTTAGTTTCCCTTTGGATGGTAACAGCTTGCATTTCTTTGAATTGTTCCTATCATGGGCTGTCTCTCAAATCACCTGCAGATCTCACTTATGCCCTAAATGTCCTTTGGGTTGGTATTTTCTCCTTGTTATTCCAGGTGAAGAAACTGAGGCATGTAGAGGTTAAGTAACTGCTAAATTAAGACCCTCTGAGCAAGTGATTGAGTTGGGATTAGAACTAAGTAGATGAGTAATGAATCTGTCTTTGAGCTTACAATGTAGCTAAAAGCATTTTCAGCATTATTAATGGCAGTGAAAAGATAATAGGGAAATTAATGACACTGCATTCACAAACCAAGTTGTGTTCCTTTTTCTAGAGGTCCTGGGCATTTTCTTTTCATCCTGTCTATACCCTTTCTTTCTAGCATGCTTCATTTTAAACATTCTGGAAGTAAAATCAAGCCCCGAGTTAAAACAGTAAGCATTCACATTTTGTACAATCCCCTAACCGTACTTTGCAAAAGCATGACCTTATTTATAACTTAGTCTTCCTGACCTGTTGCTTGAAATATTTTAATAACACAGGTTTCCCATCCCCCAATGAGGCCCGCTTTCCCCCAATCACTTTAATTATGTGAGCTAGAATCCTGTTTCTCACACATCTCCAGTTCTCAACCTTGTTAAAATTAATCATATAATCCCCCTTTAAAACATAGTATTAAATCACCATAGTAACACAGTATCTGAGCTTTATAGATAAAACATAACAGCTATAAGGAGGTAGCGTTTGGTGTCCCCTTGACGGCTCTATAACTTTTATAGAAATGCGCTCCTTCTCTAGGCTGGTGGAGGGCGGAGGGATAGCATTACTTACACCTGTTTTACTGCCACGTTGCTTTTAAATTGCCACCTTGTTTTTGTTCACCTTCCTAGTTAAAAAAGGAGAGTAAAACACTTCCTTTGCTTTCTGAATTGTTTTTTGGTACTCTAACCACTCTCCAAGGGGTGGAGTTGCTTCCTTAAATATGACCAGATAGAGTTTATTGACTGTTTGCTTTGGGGTTCACTGGAAGCCTTTTTCCTCTTAATGTTCTTATGAAGTTGGTTATAGGGGTGTTTTAGAAAGGAAGGCTATGCCTATTTGAAAACGTAATTCATATCCTAACCAAAGTCTCAATAAAAAGTATATATTTGGAAAAAGTAGTGAGCCATGATTTTTTTTCATTTTCACTGACAAATTATAAATTATAGGTGAAAGCACTGATTTGAATATTTAATCAATTTGAGTATATTTTGTAAAATACAATGCGATCTGTAGCATGTAATATGAGTTAATAAGTTCCTTTGAATAATTCAAGGTCAAATTCACAACTATTATGTTAACATGAATTTGTAGATTCAAATTTGGAGTGATAATTTTTAAAAGGAATGCAAGCTAACTGGTAAACTGGTTTTTTTACAAGTAAATTTTAAAATGTTTTGTAACTTCCTGAAAAGAACTTCTCAAGCAATATGTTAAAGTACTTTTTAATATTGTAAAATCGATATTGTCTAGTTTATGTGACTGTTAGGTGTGGTTTGCTAATATTTGTGTTGAGGCAGGGATATCTAGCTTCTTTTCTTTAATATCTTCCTTTAAAAACTTGTTTTCATTTCTTAGAAAGCACCCTGTCTTGTTAAGACATATAGTATTTCTGACCTGGAAAATACAGTACAGGGTCCTCATAAATTCAGAAATTGAAAGACACAGGAAACTGGGGAAGTGGTGACCGACTTGGCCACCTCCTGAATTCCAGCCTCCCCACCAGTAGTGTGGTGAAGCAAACTACTCACCTACCTTTCCACTTCTTTTCCTGTAAAATGGGAACAATATCATCTAAGTTCCAGGTTGGGGGCAGGATAAGTGTGATGACATCTCTAAGTGTGACTGGCACGTAGTAGGCACTTCAGCCTCTCTGCTGAATTTTCTGAACCTGGGGATGACCGGGAGGGCATGGCTAACAGGAGCCAGCTGAGTGACTTTTGGATCAGACAGACCTTGGCTTAACACCAACTTTTGGCCACAGTCCAGCTAGCATCTCAGGCAGTGCCACTATGGTATGTTTCTTCTTCGAGAAAACGAGGTTAATAGCATGCACCTTTCAGCATTTGATGGGCTGCCTCATCCGGGGTACCTGCCCGACCCCATTAAGGGGGCCTCAAGCTGCCCTGAGGAGGTGGTCGCCGGAATAGGCTGCTCACAGTCTTTGTCTTATTTTATTTTACTAGCTCCTAGTCTGTTCCCTTGAAGTGTGTAAATTCTAAGCTCATTTATAAAGAGTTCCACTGAGAAAGGAAATGTTACAGGTTCAACGACTTGTCAGTGATTAGATACTTTATCAAGAAACTTACTGCACACTCATTTTTCCCTTTGTTCTGTCCTTGCCACAGCCTCACAGTGAGCCAAGTTGGCCAGAACTTCACGTTCGTGCTCACTGACATTGACAGCAAACAGAGATTCGGGTTCTGTCGCTTATCTTCCGGAGCGAAGAGCTGCTTCTGTATCTTAAGGTAAGGGAGAGTGACTTGGCGCTGGGCACGCTCTGTGGAACAATGTCAGCTTTGCGTTGTTCTGCAATTAACTTTTCCAGCTGTTCTTTTTACTTTCCTATCGGTTTCCCACAAGTCACTGCACTCGGGGGGAAGGACTTCCCAGTGTCGGTCTTGCACTTTGCGTTCTGCAGATAATTGTATGTATTTATTTGTCTCTCAGCCCTTGGGTGGGAAAGCCGTCATTACTGCTGTGGCGTCTGTGGATGTTGGGGCCTCGGCCTGGCTTCAGTTGCTCCTGCTGTTATCTGGAGCTGTCAGAAATTAGCCTGTTAGGCTTTCCCTTGGACATTTTGTGTATGTAAGATTATTAATAAAGTATGTGTCTGTAGCTCAGGACGTCTTGCAGACGCTGATTGTAACCTCCTCAAAGCGATGCTCTTGCCCCCTTCGGGTCAGGAGTGAGTAACTGTTTCCCAGCTTGGCTACCTCTTAGAGGTTGGGGGCGAAGCACAGAATCTGGTAAGAAGGCTTCTTGAGGTCTTCTAAACCCCCTTCCTGCACCAGAGCCACACGCGCTTAATGCTCTGTTTCCTCCTGCCAGAGGGGTGAGGCGTGTTCTGGGGTAGGAGGATGTGTGGAAATCCGATTTTGGAGCTGCTGGCTCTGAGGACTCCTGCTGGGCGCCTCGGGAGGGGAAGCAAAGGCATCCCCCACACTCTCCTCTCCATCTGCCTCAGTTAAGTAGGTGTCAGAGGGGCCTGCCTCCTGTCTCTCTCTGCTCATGTGGAGCGGCCGAGGGCAGGACAGCAGGGAGGCGCCCCTGACAAAACCCTGGTCCCCAGTCTTAGACTTGGGTCTGGGGATAAAAGACCAGACCCTCTGTGAATTCCAGAGAGGGTAGTTCTCTGGTATACCAGTCTCTGCACGTTCTTATTCTCCTCAATGAGAAAATGGGCCTCCCCACCCCCCATACTGGTCTAGGTCCCCCAAACACCCTCACACCACAGGGGGAAAGGGGCTGACTTCTGAAGTACCTTTGCGTAATAACTGTCAGTCTAAACTGCTACTTTCGTGTTTCTTTACACAAACCTTACTTCATCAGTGAAGTCGGCTTTTTCTTTATTAAACAAGGCCTTTGTAATTTGGGGACTAGAGGACAACTTCTGGAAGGACCTCAGGAGGGTCCCCCACAGCTGCCCTGGGGATAAGCATGCAGAGCTGTGCTCAGGCAGCCTCACAGCCAGGCCCCAGGGTGTCCGCCCAGAGTACTGGACTCTGATGTCGGCAGCTATTTACACATTGATATAACAAGGTTGTTTTTTTTCCCCCGTTTCCTTTTTTCTTATTTAAGAGTTCTTTATGACATTTATTTGCACAATTTGTCTGCCAGTATTTTCATCAACTCTATTTTTTTTATTAAATTTGGAAATTTTCTTACTCTGCTGTTCATCTTTGACAGTATTTGACTTCTCCCCTGAGGTGTGGTCTCCATAATCTCCCACCACCACATTACCATGAGCTATCACCACGGTCCCTGGACTTTTCCCTCCCTGTTTTCTTTTCTTTTCAAGAAAATTGTTTTCTCTATATTGTTTGCTTTCAGCCTTGTCAGGATATTATACTTGTATATAGTCATGTAGAAAAATTGAGGGTTTAAACCGAGTTCGTGAACTTTCACAAAGGGTTTTTTCCTGAATATTGTTGTTATTGTGTTTCTTTTCAAAGCTGGGGGTATGAGTCTGTGGATGGAAGGATAGGCCAAGGGGCAAGAAGAATTTGCACTAAGCAAATTGCTGAGAGTGGAAAACTACTGAAAATTTAAACTTAAAAATTGCCCTCCTCTGATTCCAGTGTTTGGCTTTGTGTGTTTGTGTGGAGGATCATCGAAGTCATGTTTGCAAGAAACTAGTTGAATAGCCTTCGTGCTGTTGTCATTTAGCATGAAAAATAGAGCAATTGGTGTATTTTCTCTCTTTAGTATTACCTTGGAACTATGGGAAAATATTGGTGGGTTAATTCACTCATTGGCATGCCAGCCCTTCATGGAGTCCTACCATTGGCTCTCCTACCCTGAGGTATTCTCAAGACTATGGGATGGAGGGGTGGCACAATATGCAGCATGCTGTATACAGTACAGAGTGACCCCATGCATGGTGTCTTCTTGCTGTTGCTATTTTAGTGCCAGGAGATAGTGCCTGTGGTTAAAAGTAAAGAGACCTTTGTGCCTTCTGGGACATGTGCATACTCATGGGTATTTAGCACGAGGGAGAAAGCTCTGGTTATCCAGCTGGTGTAGATATAATAGGCATACTCAGTGGCACTTCCCCTGTGCCTGAGCTGCAAACATTGCTAGGCTGAGGTGAGCATATGAGTGGAAGGGTCTGCCATTAATCCCCAGGACCAGTGGATGTCATGTCCATGGCAAGTGGAAAGTCCTGCCTGCCAGCAGCATGCGGTTGTGAGTTGAATTCAGGTGACATTATCAGCATTGTCCTCTTTGGCTGCTTCAGTATGCCCTTTAGTTAACCTTTGTCTTAAGGTCCTGTCACACTTCTCAGTGCACCCAGAGCTTCAACTCGCATCTTCTCATAGCCACCTTGACTTCTGTGTCCCATTTCTCCTCAGGAGGGACATAGCTCCCTGTGGTGGCATCTGTGCAGATGTGGCCTCTGCTGTTCAGGACTTTGCTTCCTTGTTGCTCTCCCATGCTCAGATGCTTCCTGGCCCTGATGAGCCACCACATCTTCCTGCCCTCATCCATTTCCCCATTCTCCCAGCCTTGGCGTAGGTATCTCCTCAGAGTGGCTGTCTCAGGCAGAACTAACTCCCTGCCTCTGGGTGCAGCCGGCATGCTTTACATACTTCAGTCATGTGGTCATAAACTTGGCTTTCCTTTGTCTTGCTCCTTTTGGACTAAATGTTTAGGGGTAAAGGTTGTGTGTTATGCACCTTTGTGTCTCTGGGACTTGGTAGAGAGCTTGTATGCATGGCATCCGGAGACCGTGAAGTGCATTCCATTGCATGGAAAACCAGGCAGGCCACTGAGGCTCTGAGAGGGTGAGTCTCCTGAGAGGCTAATTCAAAGAGAAAGCATCCATTACAGTTATGCTAACAGTTCATGTTGCCAACTTAATTCTTACTAGTCTTAAGAGATAAACCTTTGCATTTTACAGTAGAGGTCTAGTGTTGAGTGATCAGCATTGTATATTACAAAATATAAGCTTGGTTTCACAAATAAAGGTTCTTAGACATCCTTTATAATAGGCTTTTTCATTTTGCTGTTAGAGACTGTCTATTCCAACCCACTAGAATATAAGTTTCATGAAGACTAGGAATTTTTATCTCTTTTGTTCATAATAAACCTCAAGCCTGTTGAAAATGTCTGCACATAGTAGGCACTTAGTAATTCTTACTTTGTGATAGAATGAATGCCTGAGGCTTAAGTCCTGTGTTTGTCTGAAAACATGTTTTGAAAATTGGTTGGAACTTTTGTCGCACTAGTTTCTGGTAGTAGCTACAACTGTATTGAAAACACCAGCTAAGAGAACAAAAATTTTGGATATGCTAGTTGTTTGTTCTTCATTATAAACCCAGGAATATGAGGAAGTACTTTAGGCCACGTCATCTGAGTTTATGTGGCATAAGCATTTACCTCTGACATCCTCCAGCTATAAAGCAAAGTGACCTAGAACCAAAATTTTATTTCCACTTCCAGTTTGCCCAAATGACACATGCCACATCAAGGTTAAAAGTGTAGTGAAATATACTGTTTATAGCCAACTTTGGGTTTGGAATGAACAGGAGCACAAGCGTGCAAAGCTGTATTGCTCTGTTGTTTAAGGTGGTGGTGATAGCAGTGGTGGTGGGGAGAGAGTATGGGAGATAATGTCATATAATACTTAAATTTCTTTAGTTTCTATAAAGGAACTTTTAGAATATTTGTATTCTGTAAATTCCCTTTAAACTCATGTGAAAAACTCAAGTAACTCTATTTATACCCAAATATTCAGAACCTGAATATAATAGTTTTTATATATTTTTAATATAATAGTTTTTAATATAGTATTTTTAATATAATAGTTTATCTTTACATCATTTTGTGCCTTCTTCCATCTCAGTCATAACATTTAGCATTTCTGTTCAGTTAGTAGATGTGTTAGTACCTAATATATACCTTGCTGATCAGGGCATGCCATTTAGCCTTTGGCCTTTATTTACCTCAAGGGTAAAAATTGGACAGTCAGCTTCCCATGTGAGACCCTTTCATGTCACACTTACTAAGAACTTGATGAACTGACCTTGATGAATTTGGTATTACACAATGAAATCAACACATCTCTTTGTCAGACAGTTCACAGCATACAGAATTGAATATGCTCCCAGGTGCTTTGTTCAGGCCCCTCTGGTGGTACCCCCCTCCCCATTCACTGTCACTTCTTCCGCAGCCGTTCAGGCTTTGGGAAGGGACTATGTAAACAAGTTAAATGAAAAAGATGTGGTAAGTGCTATTTTAAAAATATCGATGTGGAAAGTTCTTTGGGGCCACATAGCAAGCTGTGCCCATCTTACTTGGAGAGTCTGGAAAATGTTGTTGGTGGGTTCCTGTTAAACTGGACCTTCAGGAATGAAGGGGGCTTTCCTGGAGGAAAAGAGAAAAGAAGATCTTTAGGACAGTGAAAACTGGTGTTTTCATTGACCCAGAGAGGAGGAAAGTGTAGCACAATGAAAAAGGGATGAAAATTCTTCTTTCAGAAGAAAGAATTGATGCTGGAGAATTTGAAAGCACTTTTGGGGCATGTTCAGGATTTTGTTTTATCCACTAGAAACGATGGGAGGAGAGATTGATGGTTTCAGGATGGACAGTGGAAACCCAGGTCTGTGGTCCAATAATGTGAAATTGCTGTTTCTGTTCGTTGGGGTTTCTGTGATGTCAGAGGGGTTGCTGCACATCATTGGGAATCATATCCTGATCTTAATTGGATTTTCAAGTTCCAACTTTAGATTTTTTTTTTTAGACA